TCCTGTTCTAGTGCCTTTCAAGTTCTTTTTAGCTGCTATGTCTTTATACAATTTCTATGTATTTTATCTTTCTGCTTTTTCTTTCTTATGACTCTTTTGTGGGTTTTCTATGCTGTTTTTGTGTTATTGTCGATTGTGTATTTTTTCAAATTTGTACAAATGGATCAGCGGAAAGAGTTTTTTTTTTGTATGCTCTATATGATATTTAAATATTTGTTTTCTGACATTTTACTTAACTATCTTTTTTATATCATCTGTTTATATTAAAAAATTTTGACCAGTATAACTAATTAACAGAAAACAGTTAATATAAAACAGATATAATATCTAAATATTATCATAAATAGGATTTAAACACTAGACCTGTTACTTGAAAGATAACAACCTATTTATTACACTAAAATTATTATCTTTTGTAAATGTAAACTATATTATATTATATTGATATTATATTATAAACAAATCAGTATAGTATAGTTTAATAAAATTACAATTGTACTATATTAATTTAATTATCTGTATTATACTAATCTTTATAATACTATAATACCAATATTTATTTAAACAATTATGTAATTTAAACTACATATTATGCATTTAATTATATATTTATATTTGTTTGCATTACATTATTTTGTAATTTCTTTTCTAGAATATTTATTGTATTGTAATTATCTGTTAATATTATATTTATATTACTGTTACTATTTAAAGTAATTGTTATTGTATTTGAAATTACACATGATGTTATATTGCTATTTGGCAAAAGTATGCTAGATTGCACATTTTTTTATGTATTTAGATTTTGTATAGATATGTTGAGAAGATTGTAACAGTGTTTTTTGGATTGTGTTTGCTGTTTGTTGTAGACCTATTTATTGTTTTATCTATTCATAATGTAAATATTTAAATCAGAATTAGGAGCATATATTAAAATATAACTATGTATTTACTGTTTACTTGGTTATTTTAATAAAACCTGATCCTTAGAAGATTGGTTTGTTGTTTTTTTTTCATTTTTCTGTAGTAATTATTTGTTTTTGTTGTATTAGTTGTTTCTATGTCTATTGGTCTTTTGTGTATATTTGCTATTCTAAATTCTTCTACTTTTCACTTTTTCTTTTTTCCGAATTTGTAGATTTTGATGATCAGCAGAAAGAGTTTTTTTTATTATTAATATCCACATATATATAATTACAATAACGGACACAATAAATGTATGCATATGAACAAAACTTGACTAAATACGTCCAAACGCTGCCAATGTAATTTTAAAGTTTCATGAATCTTTTCACCCATCTTACACAAATAATTAGTTATAGCTTTCTTATGGTCCAACCCTTCAGGTAATGGAGGTCTGTTGGCTAATTTTCCTAAATACAGGTTAAATAACTCAGCAGGTTTATTTTTGAACTCTTCAACCTTTTTATTCGGCTTTTGAGCTAATGCAACGTATCCCATGATTGCACATTAAAGTCTTCATCATATTGGAGCACGGGTGGTATTTTAACATGCCCAATACAACCTTCCCAATTTTCATTGGTGATAATGTCTCTAGGACTTGATCTGTGGGCATAAGAAAATCCCTATAATATAAAGGTAGTTAAGCTATAGTATAATTTGGAATTGTAACATCAATTTACCGAATAAATTGTGCCAAAATCTGTCATAGAAGTATAAAGCAAATGATAAAGTCAATTCAAATCTAGATATATGCAATTAATATTATGGTCAATTATCTAAGAATGTGTTTGAACAACCTACTGATTGCCACGACAACACGAATGTCTCAATCCTCCGACATGGATATTTTTAAAGAAAAAAAAAACGAATACTCTTAAATGTTAAAATTTCTACAATTTATTTCAAATTGCAGATTTATTTTTAATTATTAGTTTGTCCAATATGTGAACGCATAAAAATCATTTAATCTTTTTATATGGAATCTTATCGTGACAATTGATTCAAAATGTGATTAAACGATAGATCACATCACTACTTTTATCACAAGTTACACAAAATATTTTCCGTATGAAACCAGTTTTAAGTAATGACCTACAAATATTAAAGCATGATCATGAGCTCCGGACTTAAACCGGATTCGGTATACACATTTGTAAGTGGGAATTGGATCATATGCACGTATATACACCCTAACCTTAATTTCATTCCCATATCGATATATATACATAATATATGTATATACGTATACGTATGTATATGGGCAAAAAGGGAGGAAAATGACAAATTTTTTAAAATGAATTTTTTTACATAAATCAATTTAGAATAATGTTAGGGTCATTTTTTAACTAAGGTATAAAGGCACTAGTATTATAAAATTCTGCAATATAGCTTATGAATGTTTACATTCTCTTATGAAATATTATAAAATTTATAACATAAAAATTGATTTTCCGAAGATCTTTTTTTTTGTTGATTTCCCCCTTTTTTGCAGAACACGGCCCATATATTTATTGATTTATTTAGAATGAAAAAAAGCACATTAAAGTTATTAAAATATTTTATTAATAAAAACGAATTAAAGTCTTGAAAATTTAGAAAAATGGGTCAAAATCAAGATCCTGATGGGGACGTTCAAATGACAGACCTTGGAGTTGAAACCCAATTCCAAGAATCATTAAAAAGTGCACAAGATAAAATTATTGGGAGCCTGAGTGGAAGTTTTCAAAACCTATTTGATGAAAATAAGAAACTCCAAAATCAGCTGACCGAACTAAAAGATGAATTAAAGAGACTGAAAAGTTCCTCACCAGAATCTTTATGCAATGTTGAAGGTGAGCTTTGGAACATTAAGGATTTTATAACTGCGAAACTAAATGAAAGTTTCGAAAATCAAAAAAAGGAATTTTACAAGCAGATGGATCTATTCAAAGAAGAATTGAAGGACCAGAATAGCGCCCCTTTAAATGAGCTTAAGCATGTTATTGAAAGTGAATTTCAAAATATTAAAGATAAATTAAATCCCAGTGTGAGTAAGCAGGATAAAGGAACAGAATTAGATCAATTACGAAAAGAAAACATGGAATTAAGGCAATTGAATAATAAATTGAAAGACGAAAACTCGAACTACCAAGTTACTATAGGTAATGCGACTAGATATCGATTTGCTGACGATGATCAAAATAATTCTGTTCATTTAAACAAAGACATTAATGACCTGAATGATAGAGTTTCTAAGTTTGTTACTAATTTGAAAAAGGACGTCAAATTACATTCAGATAAGGTTTCAGAACTTTTTCTCCGATATAAATGTACTAAAGACACCAAAGAAGAAGGTCCACAACTCGAAAAGGAGGTCTTACGACGTTTCGTAATTGATACAATTATTCAAGTATTCAATGAATCTTTAAATTCCGAAAATTCCTATTTTGAAAAGGAAGTAATGAATGATCTAAAATCGTTATTGAATAAATTAAACTCATTAACTAATACAGAATCGGGTAGCAACGACATTAAGAAATCAATTATAATAAAAATACGGCAACAAATTTATGCTATTCTCGGGAGCTCGGCATTTACAGAACCAGAACATCCGTTTATAAATAATTGCAAAACACAACTTATTAACACAATGAATCAATATCGCACTATTACTAATGAATCTAAGAGAAAGGAAATTGAAGGTCATGCTTCAGCCCTTGTTCGTGATGTTATTAGTATATTTTATTTTCGAAGGCACGTGCAGGAGCCAATAGTAAATTATACGTGGATTGACAATGATGAGCCCATAGATTCACTAACTATGACAGGCACTTGTGCTTGGAACGAGGATGAAATTGATGAATTAGTGGTACAACTTTGCTCATTTCCACTTTTTGGAATAAAACTAGAGGATCATGACAAAAGACAATTCTATACTCAGGCTCGTGTTATCGCAAAAGAGGGTAAATCATTACCTCCAGAGAAACTAAGACAACGTGCGCATGGATATATGCGGTCGGGCAAATATGACAGATCTCTTAGCATCGTAAATAAATTATTAGAAGTTGAGCCAAATGATACGCTCGCGTTAAAACTACGTGGAGAGATACATTATAGGTTGAAAAAATATAATGAATCACTTGAAGATTTAGATAAAGTATTAAACAAAGATCCATGCGATGCACATGCACTGTACATTCGTGGAGCAACTCTTCATATGATTAAAAATTATAACGATGCACTAAACGATTTGACAAAATCGATAACACTTCAATCAGATGCACCTACGTTAAGACAACGAGGTGAAACTTTATACGAGCTGGGAAGACATAAAGAATCACACGAAGACTTTACGAAATCATTAGAAATGGATCCAAATAATTCACTTGCGTTGAGATTCTGTGGAGAAATTCATTATATGAGTAAAGAGTATGAAAACGCTCTTAAGTATTTAAACAAATCATTAGAAATTGATCCAGACAATTTATTTGCATTGCAGCTGCGTGGAGATATATATCGCCTGATGAACAAATATGACAAGGCAATTTTGGATTTAAATAAATCATTAGAAATTGCACCAGACAACTCATTTGCATTGAGCGCTCGCGGAGCAGTTTACTACATGATAGACAAATATGAAGAAGCAATTGCAGATCTCGATCATTCATTAAAAATAAATAAAAGTTGTGCATTTGCACTTAGCTATCGCGGAAAAGTTCATATCGCGATGAAAAAGTACGATGAAGCAATTTTAGATTTAAATGAATCATTAAAAGTTGAACCCAAAAATGCGACTGCATTAGGTGATCGCGGAGGTATCTATCGAATAAAGAAGGATTATAAAATAGCGCTTAGGGATTTAGATGAATCATTAAAAATCGACTCAAAAAATATACATGTTCTGGCTAGTCGCGGAGATATCTACCGAATAAAGAAGGATTATAAAAAAGCGCTTAAGGATTTAGATGAATCATTAAATATTAATCCAAATTATGTATATTCATTGAAGGTTCGAGGACTAATCTATTTCGATATGGGTAAACATAACGAATCACAAACTGATCTGGAAAAAGTATTAACCTTTGATTCAAATGATGATTTTGCATTAAAATATCTTAATAAGCTGAGAACTAAATAACATCCAAATTCATATTTTAAATAGTTAGGTACTTTGATTTTGTCACTTGTATTGGTAAATTGTTGTATAAAAAGAAATTTTTTTCTAACTATTTAAAATGATTAAGAAAGTTTTTAAGAAATGATATATTGTATTTATTAAGAAAAAGAATTTTAAAAATATTAAAGTTAAATGTTAAAACAATTATTTATTTATTTTTTTTAACTTTTTGGCAGCCTTGCCAAAATCCTTTATTAAGAGAATTGCGTACATAACTATACAAATATTAGTTTAATTTTTAGGTTTGACATTTCCCGGCTACTGTATAAGCGCCCAAAAGTGACCTGTCACATTAGAGTAAGTTTATGCTCACTACTAGATGGTTATTCAGGATAGTTTTTGAGGTCATTCTAGTAAGACTTCTTGTTATTACTAATTAATTTTCTAACTATATTTCTTCATAAGTCTTCTATTTTTTCATTTTCTGTTTTTTTTCTTTTTTTTATGTCTTTTTATTTTTTCTGAGTTCTTGTCTCTTGATCTTGGTAACATTTTGTACAATAATCTGTCTTGTTGTTCTACTGCTTTATTTTTGTTCTTTTTCTTTCTTATACTAATTCCTTAATTTTTTTTTATTCAGATACTTTACTGTATCTTTTTTTTTAAATTATTTTATAAAATTTATTTCATATAGTATCTACTATACTCATTAGAAAATTTTTTGTTTCTTGCATTAAGATAAAAAATATTTTATACTCTCTTAATTACCTTCTTTTATAAAAGACCTTTAATAAGTTTTTTTCTTATTTCTGTTTTTTTCTCTTCTGTTTTGTCTCAGATTACTTCTTTTAGTTATATTTGAATGATACTTTTTTTTTTTTTAAAAAGTATACTTTATGTTATTATTATTGTTAATGTTTCTGTCTTTGTTCAATAGTTTTTATAAAATAAACATATTACTAAATAATCTTGATCTTTTTTCTTTTCTTTTTTGCAAACTATATAATTTATATCTACATACAAATCTGGTCTTCTTATTACTAATTCTTTAAGAATAGGCATTCTTTTTTATATATATTTAAAAGTATACTCAATCTTTTATTTCTTCTAGTTGAGATATATTTTGTTTCACTTTGGTTCTTGATCTTTTTCTATAATAGTACTTAGCAATATTTATTTTCTTCTCTTTCTGATTCTAATTTTTAAACTACTGATATATAACTTCAATTTGCATTATTTCTAATATTAAAAACTTCCTTAACAAAGTCTCATGTTAAATTTTCTATTACTTTGTTTTCTTAATCAAATAATATATTGAATCTTAAAATAGATTCTTCTATATTTTTATTTTTATTTTGTATATTTGTTTTTTTTTTGCTATACTATCTGCTTTGTTATTCTACCTATTGTTACTATATCCCTTTACTTTTATTAATTCTAAATCTAACTTTTTTGTTTATATTATATCTTTTATATTTATAACTAGATTATAATTTATTCTTTTTATTCTTTTTTTAGTCATTAAGTATTGTGTATTACTATGTATACTTACAATAGCTACTGCACTATCTATATATATTTTAATTTTGCTTTTGCTTGGCATTATAAAAATCATACACCAAATAACTAATAGTTCTGTTTTTGTTAAAGAAAACTATTCTCTAGTATTAATAACATCTTTATTAATTATATATTTTTCTTTAATATTTATTTGCACCCAATCAGCTTTTATATAATCTGAGTTTTGATTTTTTTTTTTACTTTTATTAGCAATCCATCTATATAAAAGATCAATTCTTTTTATTTAATATTATTTTCTTTAATGTATTTATATTTTTCTACTAATAACTCTGTAAGCCTATTACTAATTTTTTATTTAATTATTTCAATGTCTCTGTTTTCTATATAAATCTTTTTTAATTGTCTTTTAGAATTTGAGACCTTAAGATCTTTTTTCTATATAATAAAATCTAACATATTTCTAGTTGTTACATATTTTTTCTATTTATATACTTTATAATTGTTCTATAGATTTCATGTTTTTTATACTTTATTTCACAACTATTAATAATACTGTTGTAATTATATACATAGTTTTTATATTTTTCTAATATTGTTTTTTATTTTTCTAATTAATAACTTGTTTTTTAATATTTAATTTGTAATGTTTTAGATATTCTAGTCATTATTTTTCTTATGAATACTTCTTTTTTCTTATAGAATAGTGTATTATTCATAACTATCCAATTTTTTTGCTTTTAATTGTTTAATAGTTTTCTTAATTGAGCTTTAATTCTTCCTTTGTTTGAAATTATAATTTTAAATTCTGGCTTTACTATTCTACAGCTTAGTTCTTTTATCATTTCTGTTTTTAAAATTTTGAACTACTTAACTAGTCTATTTTTGATATTTTTTAGAAAACTTAGTTGCTGTTATATAATTATTTTGTTTTTTTTTTGTCAATTAACTGATACACAAATATAATACCTAACTTTTTTAATCTATATATAACTATTAGTATAAAATTTTCTTTTAGAACTTTATATATTCTTATACTTTGTCATTATAAATTAGACTTTCATAATTAAAATTCAAAACTAACTGTAATTCTTTAAAATAATTATCTATTAGGCTATATAAACTTAATAAATTAGTTCTTATAATCTGACCAGATTAAAGTTTAAATAACTCTAAAAAAAATTTTCAAGTATACTGACTATCTGAATGAGTTTTTTTAAAAGATCTATAAAAAATTTTATATGAATTTTATATATATAATTTTTTAAAAATAAAATTAAAAACTAGGTTGCTAGATTACTTTTAAAAATTTTATGTTATAAGAACTAATTCATTAAGTTTGTATAGTCTTATAATAAAAAAATATTATTATTTTTTATCAAACTAATAATTTTTAATAATATTTTAAATCTTTTGGATATAAATTTAATATCTATTACAAATTTAGTATAATTGATTATCTAATAGTTGTTAAAAAAATATAAATAAAAATAAGCAAAATTGATACAGTATTGAAAGCAGCTTTGAGTTTTAAAAATAGAATAATAATAAATAGAGTAAATATTTTTAAATAATTAAATTTAGTAAATAAAATTGTAGTAAATATAAAAATAAGCTTTTTAAATTTTTTTTTAAAAATATTAAATAAAATTATAGATTTGTTAGTTTTAAAATTATATTATTAGAGAGATATGATGACCTAGTGAAGTAGTCAGATTATTATTCTTTCAAGTGATAAGTTGGGTATTCAAATTCTTTTAATAACAAAAAAATTAGATAATTACCTATGTAATACTTTGTATTATAATAACTATTACTAATAATTATATTAAAATATTTGTAATAACAGTTGTACTAGTATAACTAGCAGGTTATAAAGCATCTATATAAGTATAACATTGCACAAGAAAATGCAAACTGACAATTGGCAATACAAACACTAAATAAGTTCTTGTAATAGTATAAATTTGTTAAAATTAGATATTAAGAAGTTCATTTAAAAAGATTTAAATAGAGAGGTAGTTAAATTTTTTAATAACTCTACTGTAAAGGCTAATCTAATAAAATGAATATCAAGGTTATAGTATCTGAACAGACAAGAACCTTCAGATTAGAAGTCTTAAAGATATTACTAACCAGACTACTAGAATGAATCAGAAAAAAAAGATATTAGATCAATCTAATATACCAATAAACAAATTATAGTCTTATATAGGCTATCTGAATTGAAAGTCTAATAAAAAGGTAGAGATATACTAAAGTATTTCAAATATGCTATGAAGTATATACCTAATTTTGTGTAAACTCTATAAGAGCACAGTAGTTTAATGGTTAAGTCCTGATCATAAGTGTTAGTTCTGCTATAGTAATACTAGATTAGTTATAAAAATAAATACAAAAAGCTCTAAGAAATTTATCTCAAAGATAAAATAGTCTTAAGATTGAAATAATAATTTGGGCATTTTGGTATGACTCAGTATTGTTAACACAGATTGCAAGTTTAGAAAATTTAAAATAAAATACCCAAGCAGAAGTGTTAGATATAACAATTAATAGGAAATCTTTAGACAGACTCATTAAATAGGTAATATAGAAAAGTTATATATATAGCCAATTGTATACTTTTTTATCACTTAAACTGTAGACCATTTCCAGGCAAATTTGTCTAGAA